GGTGAGTGGGTGAGTGGAGAATGAGCAGGCCCACTGCCCTGACCAGCGTGGACCTTCCTGATGTGTTCTAGAAGCTGGTGATGGGGATGCTGCAAACCCAGTTCTAAACAAGTCCCCTCTCCTGGGACGCCCCTGGGATCTGAGCCCTGAGTCCTGTCCCTGGAGGCAGTGGGGAGTTGCTGGTTAGGTCCTTGCTGTGAGCTCTGAGGCTAGACACTGGGACGGTTCCATCCAGGGATGCTAGGGAAGGGGCGGCTCCTGGTCCAATGGGAAGAGTGACCTCCTTGGAAGCGCCCAGTGGTCTAGATGTCACTCTCTGGTCCCCTGCTGGAGTCCCAAGGCTCACAGTGGGGCCCACTTTCTGGCCCTGTCCTGAGTCACAGCCTATGGAACAGAAGCAGCGACTGCCCCTCTGGCTTGAGGGGACTTGTTGGTCCACATACTTTTCCACTTCCAGGGTCTCCAGGGGGGCCACAAAGTTGCTGGGCACATAGCCTTCTCTCCCTGTGACGAGTGACTTGGCCAACCACCAGTCTCCAGTTCTAAGGGGAGAAGGGAAGACAGAAGCATGATGAACCCCCATGGGCCTCCCTGAGCAGCTCCTGGTGCCCCCCAGTGTGATCCCCCCCCCAGGGGGGGGGGGGCTGGTGGGGGGGGGAGAGGTGGGGAAGAGGGGGGGGGGGGGGGGGGAGCTTCCGGAAACTCACTCCTTCAAGACCTGCAGCTTCTCGCCCTTCAGCATCTGCAAGTCCCGGTCATTCACAGCGGCATAGTCATACAGGGCCACCACAAAATGCTCCTCTGGAAAGAACAAAGTAGAGATGGCCACCACTCAGGCCCTCAGGAGAGGGGAACTGGGAGAACGTGTGTCGTGAGCCATCTTCTGGCTACCAAGCAGGGCAGGGGCAGGGCCAGAGCAGAAGAGAAAAGTCTCATCAGGCGGCCTGTCTGTCCAGGGACAGGCTGCCGTCACAGCCCGCCTGTCTTCCCGTCTGAGCTCTGCTGAGAAGCCCTGGGCTGGGATGAGGATTGGGGAGGGTGGGTGTGCAGCGGCCACCATTGCTGGCCATCAGCGGGCTGCAGGACCTAGTTTGGGAACCACGGTTGGCTGGTCCCCCATCCAGCCATATCCCCCCCTGCCCCCAGCCCGTTAGTGTGAGAGCCTCCCCCCTTGTCCCCTTCCTTCTCCCCCTCCCAGCCTTATCCCAAAGTACCACATCTTGAAGGTGGCAGCTGAGGCCTTCACCTCTCCACCCCGTTGGTGCCCAAGCCCCAGTGGTGAGCCTAGCTGGCGGCGCCCAGTCTGCCTGGCCCCAGCCCTCTCTGGAGGGCTGCTACTTGCTGGGGGTCCCTGGAACAGATGTACGAGAGGGCTGGGCTTGTGGCAGGCCATCTTTCAGTGATCACTGCTAGTGATGAAGGCTCCCTGCACACTTGGCCCAGGTCCCCCAGATGGCTCTCTGCCTCCCCAGGAGTAATGACTCAGCTCTGTCACTGATGAGTGGTGTGACCTTGGGCCAGGTGCCTCCCTTGGTTGGGAAAGAGGCATTGGAATGGATGACAGTCACCCCTGTGGTCTAGGGCTCAAGTCCTGGTGCACCAGGGGTCAGCACATTCACGGCCCCTGAGCTTCCTTCCTAGAGGTGGGGAGCTCCTGTCAGGAGATGAAGGATCACCCATCAGACAGGACAAGGGACACCAGGTGAGGACGCTGACTGGTTGAGGAATCTGCTTGTGAGGGTGACAGGCTGAGATCCTGGAGGGAGGGCCCCGGGTTACCCCTCGCTACCCCTCCCCTGGCTGTGCGCTGCAGGCCCCGGGTACTAGATGAGCCAGGGAGAGAAGGGCCCTGCTGGCCTGGCCGAGTGGGTGGATGGGTGGGTGAGTGGTGAGTGGGTGGGTAGGTGAGTGGGTGAGTCTTAGATGCCCCCTTCTTACCACGGTCTGGGTGCTCCTCGGGTGGTGGAGGGGTGAGGTGATTGAAGACCACCTTGGGCAGAAACACACACACTCCAAGTTAGTTCAGCTCCTGCTGCGGAACCCGGATGTCTCGAGAGGAAACTCTAGAGCATGTCAGCCAGACTACCGAGGGGTCCGCTCTGAGGAAGAGGGTGGCCACCTTTGGAATTTCCATACATGCGGCTCCTCAGGTACCAGCGCCACCCCTAGACAAGCCCCGGACCATCTGGCATCTGGCCCTGGCCACAGTACACATGCCCCATCTTTGAAGGGAGAAAAAAAATCAGCCACCAGGATTAAAATCCTGGTTCTACCATTTAAAGTTGTGAAGTGGTATTTGGTGACATGGAAAGAGTCTTAGAGAGTAGATTCCCTAAAACTCAACAAACATTCTCACAGGCCTGTGGGTCAGCTGTGGCACACGGATACCACAGAACATGACGAGAGTGCTCCAAGTAATGACAAGAATGGTAATACCTAGCGCATTTTAAAATGTGGGATTACCCTTGTGACCCATGACGGAGGATTGGACAAGCTGAAGTAGAGCCGTGCAGTGGGATGAACAAGCTGCAGTGACACCTGTCAGCACAGGTGAACCGGCAACGTAATGCAGAGCCCAACCTGAGTCCCAGAAGAACACGGGGTGCTGGATTCAGTTGGTGTAAAGTTCATGATGTGAAAAATGAACCTGTGTATTGTTTAGGGGAAATACATACGTGGTAACAAAAAAGGAATGATAAGCAGGTTTGGAATGCGGGGGTCTGGGGTGAAGGGGACAGGCTGGGTAGGCAGAGAGAGTCAGGGAATGAGTCACTTTTGATTTCTGAGGATGAGGATTTATTTCTTAGTAGGCGAACACTTTTTTTTTTCTGTGAGATTTTATTCTCTCAACCTGACGTAGGTGTTATAAATCTTACTTTTTTTATTCCATACTTATTGGACACAATTTTGAAGTGGTTTTGCAAAATGGTGGCACCATGTGGTTCCATTAAAAACTTGCTCCCGTGATAAAATGAATGCGTAGGAAAAGGGTCTGGAGCAGGACCTCCGAGGAGATGACTCCTGGTATTTCTGGGAAGTGAAATGATGAGAAATCATCATCATTTTGTTTCCCACAATTATGTGGCTTGCTTTTTTTTTTTTGTACCAGGGATTGAACCCAGGGGTCCTTAACCACGGAGCCACATCCCTGGCCTTATTTATTTATTTTAATTTGATTTTTTTAGTTATACATTACAGTAGAATGTACTTTGGCAAATCATACATACATAGAGTGTAACTTATTCTATTCAGGAACCAACTTCCTCAATAAGACTCCTAAAGTGTAAGAAGTAAAATCAGGAATCAATGAATGGGATGGTTATCAATCTGAAAATCTTCACAGCAGAGGAAACAATCAAGAATGTGAACAGAGATCCTATAAATGGGAGAGAAATCTTCACCACCTGTACCTCAGATACAGCATAAATTTCCAGGATACAAACACTCAAAAGACAGCACCCGTCATTCTCCAAAGTCCCTCTGCTGTGTGCTGAGCCCTGTGTTACTCAGGGACACAGAGAAGATGCCCAGGTTCACCCATGGAACGGGGTCAGCAGTTCCTACACCTGACGGGTCCCTGTTAGATGAAATGATGACCACGTGAACATGCCCATGCTGGGCACCAAGCAGAACAGGGGTCCAGGTGCCACTCTCCAGTACCCCAAACAAAAAGAGGCTCTGCGGTTGGGCAGTGGGGAGGTGTCAGTCATCCAAAATCACGCCCCAGAAGGGCAGGTCCAGGGAGCCCTGGGTGCACTGGGCTCTCTTTCCCACTCCCTCCCCAGCTCTGAGGGGCTGGGCACTTACCAGGGGTGGCAGTGGTGGGGGGTCTTTGCTCTGGGTGCCAATCTTCAAGGGGCTCCAGCCCTTGCCCTTCTCAGTGACCTGCCTCTTGCTGCTGAGCAGACCCATCCTGTAGGGAGCACAGCAGATGGATTGTGAGACCGTAGGTCCTCAGGACCTCTGCACAGAGGAGCCACCGCAACCAGCTTCAACTAGAAAGCTTGGCGGAGGTGGGGCAGCAAAGGCCTCAGAGTCAGAGAGAGTTAGGGGGGCGGGGTGAGCCAAGATCACATCCATCTTCCTTCCTTCCTTCCTTTCCTTTTCTTTTTTTTGGGGGTGGGGGTGCCCAGAGAAAAGAAATGACTGCATTGAGGACAAAAAATGACCTGGCCTGGTGCTGTGGCCAGAAACTGCTGGGGTGGATCCTAGACCCTGGGGACAGGGAAGGCCTGACCTACCTGGAAGGAAGCTGGGCAGGGAGGCCACACTGAGTTCCAGGGGAGCCTGACCTACCTGTCCAGGGCCTGGGCTTTAGTCTTATTTTTGCCGGTGGGCAGGCTGTGTCACTAGGAAAGTCACAGTTCCCAGGGCCCGTGGGCTCCTTTGTAGATGGCAAATCTTTGTTAGAATGTGTCTACCCTCCTTTCCAGATCAGATTTCAGGTAGGACACCCTATGTTTAAGGCAGACAGCATAGGCATTAGGCCAACTGCAGCTTCTCAGAAATATCAAGAATCTTCTTTAGCCTGACACGGTGTTGCACACCTGTAATCCCAGCAGCTTGGGAGGCTGAGGCAGGAGGATCACGAGTTCAAAGCCAGCCTCAGCAATGGTGAGGTACTAAGCAACTCAGTGAGGCCCTGTCTCTAAATAAAATACAAAAAAGGTCTGGGGATGTGGCTCAGTGGTTGAACGCCCCTGAGTTCAATCCTCAGTATACCCCCTCCCCCCCAAATCTTCTTTAGAGGTGAGAAAAGCACAGTTAAGGCTATTCTTCGGTAAATAATCATAATGTGGCAGTCAGGGGAAGACCAGAGACCATTCCCTCAACACCACCCACCAGTCACCACTGTGCAGCTGCCAGGGCTACTGCTCAGGGCGGGGGGGTGTTCGTGTTCATAGGTTGTCTATGGCCCGTGCAGAACAGGCCCTGGAGCCCCCATCTAACCTGAGACCACCACAGCCCCACATGCACATCTGGCCATCCACAGGATGTCCGCTCTCAAGGGGAAGCCCCAAGTCACTACTCTTGCTGAGGGGCATGTGAGTGAATTCCTTCAGGCGAGGATACCGTATTCCATCCATTCTAAGATGCACCCTTTTCCCGTTTCAACATCTCTGAAACCAGGAGGAGTCTTACAATATCCTCGGTGCATTGTAGTATGATCACTAACAGCTTTTCCTGTTTTAGCAATACTATGAAATAAATGCTAGCTCCCTGGAGTGGTGCCTTAGATTCAGTGAAATCCACATCTCTCCTCAATCTCATCTTTAAAAAAAAAAAGACTATAATAATTTTGTATATAGAACAGAGCCACAGCAACTAACCACAGTCTGTTTTTTTTTAGTATGTCTTGCCATAGAACACCTAAAGCTTTACATTTGTAAAGAAAAATACTTTTTATATTTAAAAGTTCTTTATGTTAATTCATATCAGCTTTACTATCAAATCACTCATGGTGCAAAAATTACAAGCAGCACTTCATCTTGCAGAGATTTTTGTTTCCAGAAGTTTGAATATGGGATTACGGGTTTGTATTAGGAACACCTACTGAATTTTAACAGGTCTTTGATTAATATCTATGATAGATACTTTGTTCTTCTTTGTTGACACAATGAATTTTTTTGATAAATTTTCTGATAACAAAATATCTTTGCATTCCTGAATAAAAGCTGTGTGGTTATACTATGTTACCCTTTTGACAGGCAAATGGACCCTATTTGCTAGTATCTTCTTCAGAACCTACATTTCCAAGGGAGATTTGTATGTGGCATTAGCACTAAGGTACTGCTGGCTTCATCGTATATTCTGGGGAGCTCTCTACCTTTTCTATAGTCCCAAGTAGCTTAGTTAGCATTGGGATTACCTGTTCTTTAAAGGCTGGGTAGGTCATAGCCATTATATCACATGTTCCTGGGGCTTTCTCAAATGGTAGATCTTCAAATGCTTCTCTCATTTCTTGTATAGGAATTGGCTCGCTTTCCCTCCTCTTTGTGCCAGTTTGATGAGTTGTATGATTTATAGGAGACCTTCAATTTCTTCTACAGTTCTCAATTTGTTGCCATAAAGTTTTGTGTAGTGTCGTTATTTATTTATTTTTATTTATTTATTTTTTGGCAGTGCTGGGATTGACCCCAGATTGCATGTGCTAGGCGAGCATGCTACGGCTGAGCCACATTCCCAGTCTTTGTAGCATTGTCTTGTAACTCTTGATTACGGCTTCTTTCTTGACCCTAATATAAATTGAATGTACTTTCTACTCTAATTAAAATTCCAATTGAATAAAATTATCTGGACATTAATACAATCAAATAAAGTTTTAATCTAGCTTTAAAATTATGAAAAAGAAGACTTGCCTAGCACTACAAAAAGCAAAACAGAACACTGCAAAAAATGGCATGAAGTTGGAATAGAAATAGATATCTCATTAGTGGAATAGAATAAGAACCCTGCACACGGATTCTGAAAATAACACAGGAACTACATATATGAAGGTAGTGCTATTTTAATTCAGTGGAGAATAGATGGTTTATTTTAGTTTATGGTTACTGGGAAAATGACTATCTACCTAGAAGAAAACACAATCTTACCTCACACCATATTTAAAAATAGGTCTGGGAATATAGCTCAGTGGTAGAGGCTTGCCTAGCATATGTATGGCCCTGGGTTCCACCTTTAGCATCAAAACAAAACAAAACTGGGTGTACTTTAAAAAAACAATATGTTTAAAAAAAGAAAAACAAAAAAATTGAAAAATTGATTGATTGGTAGAAAATCATACATAAAACCCAGAGTTTGGGGACAACTATTAACAAAGATAGGATAGCCAGAAGCTAAGCGAGAACAAAAAAATACATTTATAAACATTGAAAGTATTTCATGACAAATGAAACCCATAAAGTCAGCAAATAAACGATAGGTTGGGGAAAAATTTGTGGAGCACAAGTCAGGGAAAGCCTTTTTTAAAAATAATTTTTAGATATTAATGAACCTTTATTTTATTCATTTATTTGTATGCAGTGCTGAGAATCGAACCCAGTGCCTCACACATGCCAGGCAAATGTTCTACTACTGAGCACAACCCCAAACAAAGGGAAGATTTTGTTCATAATGTATTCAGAGCTCATGAAAATTGACAGGAAGAATATGGTAACATCAATCCACTCAATAGTAAAACTCATGAAAATTGTAAATAGAAAGTTCATAAAGCTCACACCCAAATTGCTAAATGAACATAGGAAAATATTAAGGTTATTTACTAAATGGAAAACACAAATCAAGAGAACAATAAAATGTCACACTAAATGAATGAAACAGATAAAGATAAACAGCCAAACAAACAAACAAAATGATAATCCAATTGTTGATGGTAAAGTGAAGGAAAATTGTATTTGCACACATTTCAGGTAGAAAAGCATATATTCTAGGTACTATTATTTTGTTTGTCTTCCCCACTCATTTCCAGTGTGAAAGCTCTGTGAGTGCTGGGCTCTTTATTTTATTCATTGTTGACTCCAAATTTCTAAAGCAGTGCCTGCCACGGGGTGTGCACCTAACAAAATATTTATCAGGCAAATAAAATGTGAAATACTACTGACTTTTCAGAAAGCATTGATTGTTTGTTTGTTTTTCAGTGCTGAAGACCAAACCCAGGGCTTCTTGCCTGCTAGGCAAGCACTCTACTACTGAGCCATAGACTCCCAGCTGGAAAGAAATCTTTTAAATTCTGTTAAAATTAAAAAAAAACCCACACCTTTAGATTTTCAGTTCCACTCTGGAATCTATCAGATGAATGTAACATCATTATATAGAAATATATGAGATATAAAAATGTTTTTGCAGCAATAGTTACAGCAGCAAAACGAACAAAAAACTCCCCCAAATCAATAATGTAACTGTTCATCAGTTAGGGAATTGTTGAATAAATCTATACTCTAAACTTCTCTAGAATGTTATGCCACTATTATAAAGATTGTGCTGGATCTTTACCAAGGCTAAGTAAAATGTCTACAGCATGCTGAACACAAGAAAGAAAGATACCCCACATTTGGAAGTATCCGAGAATGTGAAAAGAAACCCCTCCTTAGGCACGTGTGTGTGTGTGTGTGTGTGTATGTGTGTGTATGTGTGTCACATAGGGAGAGGTCTAGGAGGAGGAGTGCAGAATTGCTGTTTTCTTGGTTATTTTGATTATTGGCAGTGGCATTGGGAGCTGGGAAGATAGGCACAAAAGACAGAGATGAGAAGCCAAAAATAAAAGCAAAATTTAAAAGTTGTTGGGGGTGGGGGTATGGGGTGGTGTACTCATGCAAAGTAGGGCCCAACACAATAGTTCCTAAAATGTCAACATTGTTTATCTCAGGTAATAAGAGTTAGTGTGATAATTTAATATTCCTTGAATACTCAAGTAGGAAGCATATTTTATTGTTACAAACAGAAAAATACAAAGAATGTGAATGATTTGCCCAGTAGCTGAGGGGCTTATGGCCTGGAGTCAGGCCTCCTCCAGTCCTAGCAAGAGAGAGTGGCCCGGGCTGTCTGAGCCTCAGGCCCTTCCTGACCTCTCAGCCTCCCTGGCTCAACACAGGGTCCACGGGCAGCTGCTCCCAGAGCTTGCCCTGGGCTTGGACACCTGCTTCTTCACCGAGTGACCAGCCCTGTTATCTTCCTCTGTCCAGTCAGCCCAATCACCACCAAGTTTAAACTTGGTCCAACACTGTGTCTACTTAAACATCAAACATGAACATTTAAAAACAAGGCAGAAAGAAAAATTCCTAAAATCAAACAACCTATTACTTACACTTCTGTCTTTCCACTGCTTAGCAGAGTACGCCCAGCTTTTCCATGGCCTTTAGGACTACTTGGGATCTCTCCGGAGCCTCTGCTCCAGTGGCTCTGAATGGAGACTAG